TTTGTTTGTTTGTCGCTCAACATTCCCTAGAGGTTGACAGACGTGATCCAAAGCCATAGTCTAAAGCCCACTTGAGAATGTGCTTGAGTAGGAAGCGCTCTTACGACACAGCCAGAATTTGGAGGTTGAATGAAATCCCTGCGTATCCAAAGCTTCGGGTGTGATGGGAAGGCTAACAGAGCTGTTAATGAGAAAGGAAGAAGTAACCAAGAGTTTATGTTTTCTTCTAAACCTTCTCAGGCAAGACTGGCCTTTGTAGAACAATGCACAAGACACAGAGGAAGGAAAAACCCACTTTCCATGTAGATAGATCTAAATTTTGTAAAGAAAACGGTCTGATCTTTGTTTGCCATTGGGTTGAAAACCTTGGCAAAACCCACATAATGACGTTCTTCAGTACATGGAACTTCCAGACACCACCTCTTTCACACCAAGCAGTATATTAGAAAGAGCAGTGTGTCTGTAATCCCAGGGCTTTGGGAGGCCAAGGCTGGAGGATCACTTGAGCCTAGGAGCTCAAGACCAGCCTGGGCAACATAGTGAGACTCCATCTCTGCAAAAAAAAAAAAAAAAATGTTTTAATAGCTGGGCCAGGCACAATGGCTCATACCTGTAATCCTAGCATTTTGGGAGGCTGAAGCAGGCAGATCACTTGAGGTCAGGAGTCCAAGACCAGCCTGGCCAACATGGTGAAACCCCGTGTCTACCAAACATACAAAAATTAGCAGGGTGTGGTAGCAGCCGCCCCAGTCCCAGCTACTTGGGAGGCTGAGGCAGGAGAATTGCTTGAATCTGGGAGGCGGAGGCTGCACTGAGCTGAGATCACGCCACTGCACTCCAGCTTGGGCAACAGAGTAAGATGCTGTCTCAAAAGAAAAAAAAAAAAGCTGGACATGGTGGTGTGCACCTGTAGTCCTATCTATTTGGGAGGCAGAGGCAGGAGGATTGCTTGAGCCATGGAGTTAGAGGCTGCAGTTAATGATGATTGTGCCACTGTACTCCAGACTGATAGAGTGAGACCCTGACTCTTAAGAATAGTAAGAGCAAAAATAAAGAAGAGCACAGTTGACTCCTGATGAGGGGACATCCCATAAACATCCGTATTTGAGTTTGGTCATCCTCCATCTCATCCAAACTTTCATTTTGTTTAACATTAAGCAACTTCATACAGTGAATGCTCAATACACGTTTATTGATTGGGTGGTGCCATCTACCTTCTAGGGGCAGCATGGGGAGGTGGTTTAGAGCCTGGAATACAGAGTCATTGCCTGCTGTCCAATACTGGCACTTAAACTGCTAGTTCTACAGTGATTCTAGTATCTTTGAGCTTCCCTTTCCTTGCCTGAGAAATAATGTAATTCCTGTCTCATAAGGTTCTGACATAATGAATAAATGAAATAATGCAAGTTATTATCTCATTTAGAACCATGCCCGGCACTTAGTAAGCACTCCACTACAAATTATCCTTCATAAATAATAATTTGTATTATCTCTAAAGTGAACATCATAGCTCAGATAAAAATACACTATATATATATATATATATTTTTTTTTTTTTTTTTTTTTTTTTTTCTTGAGACGGAGTTTCACTCTTCTTACCCAGGATGGAGTGCAATGGCACGATCTCAGCTCACCGCAACCTCTGCCTACTGGGTTCAGGCAATTCTCCTGCCTCAGCCTCCTGAGTAGCTGGGACTACAGGCACCCGCCACCATGCCCAGCTAATTTTTGTATTTTCAGTAGAGACGGGGTTTCCCCATATTGACCAGGATGGTCTCGATCTCTTGACCTCGTGATCCACCCGCCTCGACCTCTCAAAGTGCTGGGATTACAGGCTTGAGCCACCGCGCCCAGCCCCAAAAATACATACTATTAATCAGTCAAAAGGTGTTTTATGCCTTCCGTGTTTCTGGCTGTTCTTAGCGCGTGCGTTGTGGATTCTTACTGCCTGCTAAGAGAACAGCCAAGGCCGTAAATCACAGAGGAATCTGGAGCCTTCCTCTTTGCCCCACCTTGCTGAAACCCTCTTCGCTGTACTCCTCCCGTAGCTGGGAAGAGAGGACATTAAGCAGTAACGAAATACGCGGGAATTTGACCTGAGTCGATATTGTTGCTAAGAACTGAGCATTTTATTACCAGATTTCTTAGGTGTCAAGCACTAAGCATAGGACATTACTAAGTGCACCGTTAAAACCACAGACCCCAGCATGAGTCTGAGCCTGTATATGGCCAACTTGCTGAGAGCAGTGGTGCTCAAACTCAACAACCCTCGGTAGCACCTGAGAGCTTATTAAAATGCAGACTGGGCCGGGCGTGGTGGCTCACGCCTATAATCCCAGCACTTTGGGAGGCCGAGGCGGATGGATCACGAGGTCAAGAGATTGAGAAAAATACAAAAATTAGCTGGGTATGGTGGTGCTCGCCTGTGGTCCCAGCTACTCGGGAGGCTGAGGCAGGAGAATTGCCTGAACCCAGAAGGCAGAGGTTGCGGTGAGCCGAGATCGCACCATTACATTCCAGCCTGGGTAACAAGAGCGAAACTCCATCTCAAAAATAAAACAAAATAAAATACAGACTGTTGAGCCCCTGCCGCTCAAAGTTTCTGATTCATTAGATCCAGAGTGGGTCTCCAGCGTTTGCCTTTCTAACAAGTTCCCAGGTGGTGCTGAAGCTGCTGCTCCTGGAATCAGATTTCTAGAATCATTAGCTTAGCGTGTGGAGTTTAAGGAGTCAAGGCCAACCCCATTCATCCCTGTCACTGGTGTTGCTGGCTATAGGGGGTGCTAAAGGGTGGAAAATGAAATACTCAACAAAACTGATATCTCTATCAAGGAGAGAAAAAAAAAGCAATAAAACACCCAAAACCTAAATATTCCCAGTGGAAGGCTATTCATGGGTCAGTTGTTCATTCAGGCATTCATTTAATATGTTCAACCAACTCCTGCTTCCAACATTAATTGGAACCATCATCATTTGTCTCAGAATTGCCTCATTCCAGGATTTAGTACTTTTGTGGTTATTTTTGGAGGCCAACACTTGAATTTAATTAGATCTGGTTACAAATTGCGTGGAAATCTCTATGTCCCCTGAGTACTATGTTTCCAGTTGGTCTTCAATTTGTCTTGATCGCAAACCTCAATGATAAACGACTGGGATCATCCATTTCAGAACTTTCTTGCATTCTCCATGTTACTGTACTTGTGGTGGCTGAAGGCCATTGTCTGTTTGTTATTTTAGTCAGTGAAAGGGGATGGAGGGATCACCCACTCAGAAGAAATAAATGGGAAAGACTCCAGCTGCCAAGTAAGTGACCTTGAACTCAAGTTTGGTGGTGGGATTCGCTGGTGTTTTCTCGCTGCTTCACAGTCTCATTTTCAATAAAATTCTCAGCTACAGCCAACTCATTTAACATCTCAGGATTAAGCACTTATTATATACCAAGAACTATACACTGAGATCTGCAGACACAAGCCTGAGCAAGCTAGAGTTCCTCAGCTATATTCGATCAAAAAGTTTTCACAGGTGTGCTTCCCTCTTTTCTGCGTTAAAAATTTCTTCTCAGCCTTCACTTTTGCCATAAATGTCACCTCCTCAAAAAAACCTTCCATGTCCACCTCTCATAACTACATCTTGTTCTTTTATTTCAATGCATCATTGCAAATTGTAATTATTTATCTCCCCTGCCCTTTCTCATGTCTACTTGGAATGTCTGTGGAGCAAGAAATCTCCTTCTATTTCTCTATCACCTTGCACGATGGCTGGCAAGTACTAGAATCTATGTCTTGAACAGAATAGTTAAAGATACTGGGGGGAGGTCACACAGTTTACTTTCATTATTTTCTTTATTCTAAAGAAACTTAGCTATGACATGTTTATAACTACATGTGTTCCTTTTTTAAATGGGATCATGTAACTGTACTCTTTTTTTTTAACTTAAAAATAACCTCCCTGTAATCCCAGCACTTTGGGAGGCCAAGGTGGGTGGATCAAAAGGTCAAGAGATCGAGACCATCCTGGTCAACATGGTGAAACCCCGTCTCTACTAAAAATACAAAAATTAGCTGGGCATGGTGGTGCATGCCTGTAATCCCAGCTACTCAGGAGGCTGAGGCAGGAGAATTGCTTGAACCCAGGAGGTGGAAGATGCGGTGAGCCGAGATCGTGCCATTGCACTCCAGCCTGGGTAACAAGAGCGAAACTCTGTCTCAAAAATAATAATAATAACCTCCACACACAAAAAAAATGACGTCAAATGTTCTTCTGGTAGTTTTGGCTACAAGAATGAGTGGTAGACTCAAACTGTCTGGTTTAAATCCTGGATCAGCCATTTTTTTTTTATTTTTTATTTTTTAGCTGTGTGACTTAGGCAAATTGCCAAATCTGCCAGTGACTCGACTTCCTCATCTATATAGAGGAGCTCTGAAAAGTACTGCCTCAGAGGGTTGTCATACTTAGATGAATCAATACATGTAAAACACTTAGATCATTCCTGGTACAGAGGGCTCAATACATGTCAGCTACTATATTAGTCAGCATGGGCTGCCATACAAAACGCCATAGGTGGTTGCTTAAACAGCAGAAATTTTCTCTAAGTTCTTGTAGCTGGAAAAGATAGGATTAAGGAGTAACCAAATCAGCAGGGTTTGGTTCCTGGTGAGCACTCTCTTCCTGGCTTGTAAACGGCCACCTTCTTGCTTATGTGTCCTTACAAGGCAGAGAGAGAAAGAGAATAAGCTCTCCAATATCTCTTCCAATAAGGACACTAATCCTACTGGATCAGGGCCCCACCCTGTGCCTCTGTTTAACTTGAATTACTTCCTATTCCAAATATAATCACATCGGGAGTTAGGGATTCAACATATGCCTTGGGGTCGGGGCACAATTCTATTGTTAACAATGTCTATTTGTTACTATTACTATTATGCTGCTGATAGGGAATTTCCAGCTTATAATGTTGCCCACCCATATCACACACACAAATGGACAGCAATGACTGTAAATATGTTATGATATTTTTATTTCCATAATAATGGGCTTATTCTACATTTTAAACAGGAAATATATTGCTATGTACAATACTCCTTTTGTTTCTTAAGTTACGACTATACCTGATCCCCAAACTAATTCCCTAGACAACTTTAGAACCAAAATTCCCAAAGATTATTATTTAAAAATAGGATACAATTATTTTATTCAAAAAGAAAAGCTTAAATATGATTATACATTTTGTCTGGAATTTTACAGTGAAGCAATTGTGCCAATAATCTTGGTGATTCTAAAATTGGAATGACATCCATACAAATCCAAATAAGCTGGAAACGTCATTCTATTTATACCCGCCTAGGAGTGTCTTGAGAATCCAGTTGGGAATTTTACTTTCCAGAGCCTTGGATTCAGACTTGAGAACATTGGCGTGTCCTTTCCATTTTTAGCTCCTTTAATCCTCACAGCACCATAAGGTGTCATGTCTTTCATTGCTCCTGTACAGATGAGGAAACTGAGAGGTCAGTACCTTCGGTCACACAGCAAGGTTATGATGGAATTCGAATCAAACCAGGTCCCTCTGACTCCAGCCACTGAGCTCTTAGCCACTCACTGCATCTTAAATTTTTCTACGCAACAAAAACAATTAAGAAGGCCTTTGAACTGGGGTCTCTGGTTTCTGGCCTTTCTGAAGAGCGTTGCGGTGAGAGTTTCTGTTTCATTCTAAGGAGAGTATCTGCTCTGGGCCATCTATTGTTCTTGGACATGCATATCTTAGCATTTACTGCAACTCTGACAGCTGGGCTCTGCTAGAAGTGTTCAGGACATGTATTGCAGAAGAGCTTCTCAAGGCACACTGGATGTCTGCTGCTTCTTTCTCCAAGGATTCTGTCCTCTGAAGAGCACCTGCCGAGGCCTTCTGGACTGGGGAGTCTCTGCTGTTTGTCTTCGCACTTATTTCTAAGGGGTGTACGTGATTCACTGGTGTGAAAGGAAAGCTCTCCATCAAAGGCCTCCTCTGATGCCTTCTCCATCAAAGCTGCCACCTTGTTTTCTTCATTTTAAAGAATAAAGGAAAAGTTCTTGTTAGAAGTTTTTACCTGGAGACAGTACATAACTTTCTGAATCAGGCTTATACGCATGTATCTGGTGGGTCAAGTGTGTTTGCCAGTTGTTTGCCACAATCAGGGCTTTAAAACCTTTGAAGTCAATATTTAAAACTTAACATGATGTGCGTGGTGGCTCATGCCTGTAATCCCAGCACTTTGGGAGGCTAAGGCAGGTGGATCACCTGAAGTTAGGAGTTCGAGACCAGCCTGACCAACATGGAGAAATTCCGTCTCTACTAAAAATACAAAATTAGCCAGGTGTGGTGGTGCATGCCTGTCATCCCAGCTACTCAGGAGGCTGAGGCAGGAGAATCGCTTAAACCTGGGAGGTGAAGGTTGCAGTGAGCTGAGATCACGCCATTGCACTCCAGCCTGGGCAACAAGAGCAAAACTCCATCTCAAAAAATAAAAATAACTTGACATATTTGGCATTTTTAAAAATTCAATTTCAGGGTTCTCTTGGTAAACACAAGCTCTCTGACCACACTGGGGCTGCAAGCCTATGTGGTATCTCTTGACTGGATTGCAGCAACTGTTGCCCTTTGGAAAGGGCATGTAACACTCAAGTCTCCCTTACTCTAAATTTTCTCCCCAACAGCAAAGCCAGCCTTGCTTGAACTGGTGCTTTTCTTATACTGGAGACATATTTCTTTGGACTGTTGTTGCTTTTGCAGCTGGAGAAATCAGATATCCAAATGATTATTCTTCTTACCCCAGCCTGCATTTACTAGAATGTTGGATTTTACAGCCTCATCTCATCAAATTATTGGAAGCATGTGGGCTTGTAAACCTTTCATTTTGACACACACACAAAAAAAAGATATACGTTCAAAACCAAAAACAGTCATCTCTTTTGCCACCATTTCATGAAGCAAAAGGACAATTTCACACCAAAAATTAGGGTAGATGCAACCATGAAGAAAAGAAGGGGCATCCCCACATCCCCAGGAAAATAACTCATGTGGCCGCAAGTGGGAGTAGCCCCCTCAAAGCTGGTAGAAACATAAAAGGGTTTCAGGAACAGCTAGAAATTGAAGGAACACAGGATACCATCAGTGCCTGGTCTTTCTCTCTCTCTCTCTTGACCTCTCAGCTGTGCTTTCTCTGTGTTGGCTTCCTTTTCAGAAAGATTTTCCCTAGAAATACTGGTGATTCTGGAAGCTGCAGTCTTACATCTTCACAGCTTCAAATCTGACAGAAAGGGAGCCAGCCTCTCTCTCGATTGTTTCAGCAAAGCTCTGAGATTAGCTTCAGTGTTACCTGCATTTGGCTCTGCTGAGCCAGTCACAGCAGGCCAATCACATGCAACGCTCTGATCATCCAGGCCTAAGTCACATGCTCTTGTCTAGAGGTGGAAGTAGTTTGCCTGGACCACATGGAGTAGATGAGGAAGAAAGATGGTTCCTCAAGGAAAAGCCAAGTTCTGGTACCAGAATAAGGGGCAAAGAGTGCTTTTCTGGGATAGCATAAAATTTGTTAATGGAGGCTGGGCGCGGTGGCTCATGCCTATAATCCCAGCACTTTGGGAGGCTGAGGCGGGTGGATCACAAGGTCAAGAGATCGAGACCATCCTGGTCAACAAGGTGAAACCCCGTCTCTACTAAAAATACAAAAATTAGCTGGGCGTGGTGGTGCGCGCCTATAGTCCCAGCTACTCAGGAGGCTGAGGCAGGAGAATGGTTCGAACCCAGGAGGTGGAGGTTGCAGTGAGCTGAAATTGTGCCATCGCACTCCAGTCTGGGTAACAACAGAGAACCTGCGTCTCAAAAAAAAAAAGAAAAATTGTTAATGGATTATTAAATAACTAAATAAATATCCCCACCATGACTTCATAAGTACACATTTTTCTTTTTTTACTTTCATTTCACCTAGGGATTATGAAAATGTAGATACCACCCAATATTTGAACATCTCTGTTTTAACGTATTTATTCCCTTGCAACTAAGAGTTGTCTTGCAGCCAGTAAAAATGTGCTTTGTTTGAAACTGCTGTAGACATCAGACTCCACAGAAAAGACTGCCACACAGCCAGAGCCAGAACCAACAGGAACAGCCCAGAAAGGCAAAGACAGCTCCTCGAAGGACAAGAAGTCAGCAGCCGAGATGAACAAGCAGAAGAGCAACAAGCAGGAAGCCAAAGAACCAGCCCAGTGCACAGAGCAGGCCACGGTGGACATGAACTCACTGCAGAATGGGGACAAGCTCCAAAAGAGAGCTGAGAAGCGGCAGCAGTCCCTTGGGGGCTTCTTTAAGGGCCTGGTAGGTGGATTCTTTTTTTTTTTTTTTTTCTTGCCTCTTCTTTCTGGGCTCTCTCTTTCCCCAAGAAGGTAAATTCCTTCTCCAATTACAAGCTAAGACCTTGAGCAAGTTATTGTCTCTCTGAACCGGAGTTTTTATCTGTGCGTGAATGATGGTATCTAACTCATAGAATTTATGAAATGGTTATGTGAGATACTACATATAGTCACCTAGCACAGTGCCTGAGACCTAGGCAGCAATCAGCATCATCACCACCATCATCATCATCATCACTCTGTTCAGTGCCTTGTGCATAGTAGATGTTCTGGTAATTATTTGTTGAATAAATGAATGGATGGAGAATTAATGCATTATTAGATTATTTTATTTACATTATATTATACCAATTTGAAGTGTCAAAAAAATTAGACAAATCAAATTAAACACACTTTATGTTATGAGCAAGGAACATTTCATACATTGGACAGACAGCACTCAAAACCAAAAGAGGTTCAGAGCACACTGCCCAGTGACTTGAGTAGTAAGCTTTTATAAGCCAAGCATGGAAGCAAAGTAGAAAATTTATCCAATTGGGTACAATGAGGCGTTTGCCTTATTTGGTCATGATGTGATGAGGTGTCTGCCTTATTTGGGAATGGTCTAATTAATTGGTTGCCAGTGATTGGCTAAAGCTAAGCTATTTGTGATTGGCTACAAGCTGGCTATTTGTTATTAAAAAAAAAGTATACTCACAAGGTAGCTTTGGTTTGTTTACTTACTAAGTGTGGTTGCAGTTTGTTACATAGACACTCAGAGTAAGGAAACTGCCTCAGGCTAAAAGCCTCCTGCTTATTTAATTTAATTTAATAGGTCTATAAATGTATAATTGTGTTACTTCATGGACTGTAGAATCAAGGGATGCTGGATGCAGAGGAATTTTTTTACTGCTTGCAATTTTAGGCAGACTGGTGAGGAAGTGTTTTAGATTTCACTCTCCTCTACAAAATCAAAGCTCATCTTCACCACTGGACTCCTAGCTCCATGAGGGTAGGGTACCACCTTTCAGGTTCAAGGCTGTGTCTCAAGCACTTGAAATAGAACCACATAAACAGCAGACGTTTGATAAACAAAGGAATGAATGGATGAGATTAAAATAATAGATACTAAAATATGAAATATAAAGTTGAAATACTTTACTTGAAATTGTTACCCTTTGATAAAACATTGTACTCAACTTTAACCATACTTACAATTTCTACTTGCATGTTTAAGAAACGCCTACTTTATGGAGGGAGACATTGAAACTAGGTATCTACTAATAATTTGATTTACATATGGAAACTACTGAAATTTCTTCCCTTCCTTTTCTCCCTTCTTCCTTGTTTCATTTTTCTTCTGAAAATACTTATTAAGCTTTCCATCTAAAGCACATTCACACTCATAGTTTCTCTCTCCTTATTCCACAAGATGTGATGGTTCTTTGTTAGCTTCTTCTGTCTGGATGTAGTGCAGTCTTCAAACTAATCATGCAGCCCTTGCCATGGTTTCATTGATGTGAGCAGTGTCGATGCTGATGTAAGGCAAGAATGCCGGTTTGTAGCCCTGAGAGAAATACTTCACCCACCTAGGTGAGGCTCTATTGGATTTGCTAACACAAGTCTCAAAATGTACTGTGCACATGAATCACCCAGGGATCGATTAACACATATTCTGATTGAGTGGTTCTGAGGTCCCACCTGGGATTCCACAAAGCTCCTGATTGATGCTACAAAAGCTGCTAATCTGGGGACCATCCTTTGAGTAGCAAGTTGCTAACGGGCCAGAAAAGAAAATGTTGGGGAAATATTTGGGTTTCTTTTAGTGTACATTTTTCAACCCATGATTTATTCATTTGTTTAAAATGAACACCACCCAGGGAATGACTTACATTGCGGCTTCTAATTCTTCTCATGGAAGCCAACCTCCACAGTAGGTAGGAAGACCAAAAAAGGAAGATGGTGTGGAGAAGCTCAGATGATTTCTAATAATCTGGTCATTCATTTAACAAATATTTGTAGAATATTTAGAATCCTGGCACTGAGCTAGACCAGCGGTATTAAAAACACAACTCCTATTTTTGTAACTAGTTTTATTTGAACACTGCCATGTTCATTCATTTACATGTTATCTGTGGCTGCTTTCACACAAAAACATGAGGGTTGACTAGTTGCACGATGAGGGTTGACTTGTTGGATTGACTAGCTGACTAGAATGCATGGCTCATGAGGCTTAAAATATTTACCATATGGCCCTTTGTAGAAAACACGTGCCAAGCCTTGAACTAGGCACTAGGGGTAGTATATTCAGAAAAGAAAGGGTACAGGGTACCTGACCTTAGGGGTTCATATTCTAAGGGGAAGCATGGGGCTAAAAAGTATTCACAGATAAGTTGAAAAAGCAAAATTATTAAAACTATAAAGTTAAAATTACAGGAGACTCAGGCAAGAGAATCGCTTGAACCTGGGAGGCGTAAGTTGCAATGAACTGAAATCATGCCACTGTACTCCAGCCTGGGTGACAGAACGAGACTCTGTCTCAAAAAAAAAAAAAACAGAAGACAGATGTTAAACAAATAAATTAGATAATAAGATCATTTCAGAGAGTGGTATGTTCTGAGAGAAAATAAAACAGGATAATGATTACCACCCTAGGTGGTAACTGGGGAGGGGGCCAAAGTGAGATAATTGGTTGGGGTTTCTACACCCCAGGTACTAAGTGCATTGTAAGAATGAACTCGCTTTATCTTGGGAACAACCCTCTGAGATAAGTTTGTTGTTTCCATTTTAAAGAAAAAGAAACCAAAGCACAAAGAGATGATAAGTAATTTGTCCAAGATTTCACCAAGCTAGAAAGTCACGTAACTGGGCATTGAACCAGGGCATCTGATTGGAGACCATTCTCTTATCCACCACTGAAGAATGAGCTATATTAATTTAGCACAGCACCTAGCACAGAGTAAGTGCTACATAAGTGGCCATTGTTGCTGTTGAAATTACAGATCTTCGATAGGCAGCAACATCTTTCTGTTTTTCTCCAGGGACCAAAGCGGATGTTGGATGCTCAAGTGCAAACAGACCCAGTATCCATCGGACCAGTTGGCAAATCCAAGTAAACAAATCACCACGGTTCCCACCAGGTTCTCCTGCCAACAAGATGTGTTCTCCTTACTCCATCTCCTCCCCAAACACGTTCTATGTATATATTCTTCTGATGGCCAGCAAGCGAAATTCTGCCTAGAAATTAAGCCCGAGCTGTTGTATATTGAGGTGTATTATTTACGTCTCTGGTCCAGTCTTTTCTGGCAAATAACTGTAAAGATGGTTTAGCAGGTCACCTAGTTAGGTCAGAAGAGTCGATGATCACCAAGCAGGAAAGGGAGGGGATAGAGGAATGCATTAGGGTTAAGTGATGAAAATGGTGGTGGTGGCCGGAAGTGGTTGCTCACGCTGTAATCCCAGCATTTTGGGAGGCCGAGACAGGTGGATCACTTGAGGTCAGGAGTTCAAGACCAGCCTGGCCAACATCATGAAACCCCATCTCTACTAAACAGACAAAAATTAGCCAGATACGGTGGCACGCACCTGTAATCCCAGCTACTCAGGAGGCTGAGGCATGAGAATCGCTTGTACCCAGGAGTTGGAGGTTGCAGTAAGCCAAGATTGTGCCACTGCACTCCAGCCTGGGCAACAGAGCAAGACTGTCTCAAAAAAAAAAAAAAAAAATGGCAGTGGCAAATAAGTTGTAGAAGAGAAATGCTGCAAGAAGGAATTAAGTGTTGTAGCAAACACATGCTCATCCTCTAAGCTTGAAGAGGGGAGATGAAAATCCATTTGTTTAAATTCACATCTTAAGGAGGGAGAACCCGGACGTGCTGGGCGGTTGCCAGTTTCCTAGAATGGAATGTGTGGGGTATGAAAAACGAATGGAGAAGTGTTGTTTTTAATAGGGTCCTTGTAAGTTATTGATGAGAGGGTAAAGATTTACTGGGAAGGGCTTAAAATGATTTGGGAGAACAATTGCTTTTGAGGCCCAACGTCAAGGGCAAAGATTACAACTTAAAAAAAAAAAAAAAGAAAGAAAATTGCACGGTTATTTTGCAACACAAGGGGGCGGCAAGGTCCCCATTTTTATCCTGTTTTCTGTATCCCTAACAAAGATTTGGTCTCTGCTATCTTACATTATTAATGTTTCTCAGATGGCTGAGGGGCTCGCTTCATCTGTTCTGTCTGACACTTATCTCAAGTGTGTCTGTCATTCCTAATGTTCTCAGGATGTGCTCTGATAAAACCCTCCCTATAACCTCAATTAATAAAAATTTACAGAAGATTTATTCAAATACCTGAGTTGTTTTTAATACCTGTACAAAGAAGTAAATAGGACCCTGAGTCTATTAAAATGTAATTCAAAGTAACATATGATTGACTGACAGTCATGTAAACTGTATCTTTCTCTGATTTAATAAAAAGTAAATTTACTTCTAAAGTATCTTTTAATTTTCAACTTTCAAAGCAGTCCCACTGTGTATCTGAAATGCTCTGCCTTCTACAGTATAAAATCCATACTATTCCCCCATTTTCTTCTTTGGAAGATAATTCTCTCCCAGATCCTCCCTAATTTCCTTGTATATGGGCACACACACACAAATGTGTGTAGGTGTTTGCAGGTACACACACATGCATGTATAGAAAAGGGCTGTCTTGCCGGGCATGGTGGCTCACACCTGTAATCCCAGCATTTTGGGAGGCCAAGGCAGGCAGATCACAAGGTCAGGAGTTGGAGACCAGCCTGACCAATGTAGTGAAACCTCATCTCTACTAAAAATACAAAAATTAGCTGACCATGGTGGTGCATGCCTGTACTTCCAGCTACTCAGGAGGCTGAGGCAGGAGAATCACTTGAACCCAGAAGGTGGAGGTTGAAGTGAGCTAAGATCGGGCTGCTGCACTCCATCCTGGGCAACAGAGTGAGACTCCATCTCAAAAAAAGAGAAAAGCGCCGTCTTAGGCCAGGTTGCCTGGAGCAGAGCTTGAGATGGGGATTTGGACACATAGGATGTACTGGGAGTGAGCTCCCAGGGAAAGGGAGTCATAGAAAAAGAAGAGGGCAAGAAAGGGGTTGGGTAAGGTTGGTTTCAGCTGGAACATGAATTGCACCACCCAGATAGTTTGACCTTGAGGCCAGGGGGCCGGCCTTTGAACCCCGGTAGCTGAGTTCTGGGCTGCCCTGGGAGGTGGGAGGATGAGCAAGCTGCCTCCCTTGAGCTGCGAAGCTGGTTGCCTAACTGGAGGATGATTTTATTGGCAGTGTCCACTACAGATACAGGCATATATGTCCAGATACATATTCATACCCACATTCGCATACATGTGCACATACTCATGTGTATAAATATATATCATGCAGGAATAGATCCGTGCACTCAGCCATATTTACATACATGCAAATAAACACGTAATACAGATCCACACATTCACATTGGCTGACACAAATCTATCTCTTATGCAATTCATCACACATTGATCGGAGGTAAACATTGAATACACTCTCCTGATGTGGACTTAGACTATAAGGACAAGTTTGCTGCTTAGGCAAATTACACCATGGCTTTGGCAAATAGGCATTTGGAAAATGTGTTCAGAAAAATACGATATCACTCGAAACCCCGATGTAAGTAAGGACGGGATCCCGTGCTGCCGGAGCCTGTGACCTCCCAGTTCGGACTGGCTGAATTCCTATTTCAAATAAAGACCAGAGGTCTTTTTCTTGCAGCTGGGTTAGTGTCTTCAAACCTCCTGACCATACCTCCAGAGTACTCACACCTGTGCCTCACCCAGTCAAGAACTATCTCATGCCACTTAGTATCAGAATGCTTAACTTGGCACAAAGCAGGAACACAGCACTCGGGGAAGCCCATCCTTGCCACCATCAGGGCACAGGATGATTCAAGAAAACCAGGCAGCTGCCATTCCTTTGTCTCCAAACACCGCCGAGCTCCTGAGCTGCAGTCCATTGAGGAAGGTGCCGGTATCATTTGCAAGTTACACTTGGCTGGGTACAGAGGCTTTTCGCCCAGATAAGAAATGCCCCCAGGCAGAAGTGAGAGAAGCAGACTGAGTAGCCAAGGTCAGTTACTTAGCCAGTGACTAAGGCAGCTGGAGCCCTCCCAAGCCCCCGACTCAAACAAAACAAAACAAAATAAAACAGAAAAGCTTCTTTGCTGAGAATCTCTCTGCAAAGTGTGCCAACAGTTTCTATAACTGATTTCTTCTTCTGGGCCAAAAAAAGAGAATCATCTTTTAATGAAATTGCTTTTATTTTTAAAGCAAGAAGGCCAGAGAGAAGTAAAGCAAATGACTTACTGGGAGAACTCAGAATTCAGTTAAAGCTTAAGAAATAAATTCACACTCTTTTCTTTCTGTGTGTGCGTTTCTGTTATTACTGTTGTGTTGAGTTGAGATCCCATTCCTGATTCACTTGCAACAAATACTAATGTGCACCCCTTATGCTGAACTAGAGTGAAAAAGAGCAGAAACTCACCAGTGAACCCAAGAAAGACTTTAGGACACAGATTCCCAGAAATGCCACTCAGACAGAACAAGCAGTGGGGGACATAAGCAAAGCAAAAGTGGCACAGAAAAATATTATTAAAAGAGAAAGAATTCAGACCTATGGGAGGGAGCAAAATGCCTTTATTATTATTATTATTTATTTACTTGTTATTTATTTTTAGGTACACAGGGAAGTGTGTCTTCTCCCGTGTCAAGAAGTGGCCTTTCCAGGAATGGAGCTATTGAGCTGAAATGGCTGCCACTGCAAACACACACACACACACACACGTACACACACACGCATGCACACACCTCTCCTTTCTAGTTCCCGCTGACGGTGACTTTCTGACTGGTATCCATAAAATAATTCATTCAAAGCAGTTGTTCCCAGAAGCTCGTGAGGTCCTTCTTGAATTCATAGTCTTGGGGAAGGAGGCACATACCAAAATAGAAGCCAAAATGGGAAGAAAAAGAGAAAGAAAGTGTAATTCCTATGTTTCTGTTGTATGTATCCCCTTGATTTTTAGACAAATCATTGGGGGTTTAAACACACAGTCTCTCCCCTTCCTCCTCCCTCCTCCCTCCTCCCAATTCACACACACACACACACACACACACACACACACACACTCTCTAGATTGTTCTTGTTTGTTTGCAAACAGTCCAGAAGCACTGGGGTCTCGTTAAATTAGATTCCAAGTGTCTTTAAAAAAAAAATTAGATTTCAAGAAATTGAGAATCTGTGTCCTTCCCCTTCTCAAAGTGCCTGGAAGGGCATAGATTTCTCCAGCATGAATCTGACAATGTTATTTCTTATGTCAGATAATCCCAAGTAGATCTTATACCTTAAAAAAATAAAATCAGCTAAACTACCTACCTTAAAGGGAAGGGAAAAGAAATGATTCCAATTATTAACTAACCCAAGTTACAAACACAGGGGAAACCAGGGGATGTGCTTTGCAGCAATATCAGATTACAGGGGTTGGTTTTAACCATCCTTTAAATGTCCCTCTTTAAGCCTTTTTAAAAGGCAATTTTGCACAGCGAGTAGAATTAGGCTTCTCTGTGGTCAAGATTTTGTTCACTCTATCAGTGCAAATGAAGTGGCCCCGGTCCGCTGGAAATTACGGTCTCCATTAGGAAGAAAAGAAATTACTTACCGAGCGGCAAATTCTCTAAATTTGTAATTCAGATTTTTAGCGCAGAATGCCGGTCAGGATCCAGCCCTTTGCGTAAATTGGTTTTCTGGGGAGTTTAACCCCTTAGCCTCTGTTGCCCTTTTCTGGAAAGGCATCCCCGCGACCCTCTCCATCTCCTGGCCCTTTAACTTGCCCCAGCAGAAGTTGCAGTCCACAATTTCACCAAAGTAGGGATAATCCATTATCCCACATTACCGTTTATAAAGTGCTCTGGGCACAATCTGTAATTTCAAGCTGTATTTCCCTCACCGAACTTAAGTGCTTCCTTTGTTACATTTCATTACCAGGGACTGACATGCACCTGTAGAGATTTCTTTTTTTTTTTTTTTTTTTTTTTGCCATTTTTTTGTTTTGTTTTGTTTTTCCAAATGAGCCACTTCTTGACAAAATGGCCCCCAGCTGCACTTCTGCTAATGACAGCCGCGGAAGGGCTGGCTTCTTACTTGATCTCCTCTCTCAGAAGCATGGTTTTGTCAAAAATGCAGCCACGTGGGGGAGCTGCGGGACCTGGGGTTCTGCAATGCCTAGCCCTTTTTCCCTTCTTGCCTAACCAGGAAACTGGGCCAAAGCAGCCTGAGAGTGTATTTGATTAACTTCTAGAAAGCAGTCGTTTAATGAGGAGAACTAGATGGAGAAAGCTGAACCGAGCAAGTCGGTTGCCTTCTATGATTCTCAGCCCTCCAAACAAAGAAAAGGTTGGTTGGATTGTATGTCCCTTCTTATCTGCTCCATCTTGGAAGAAGCTCAAGGAAGTCTGTGTGATTGCAGAACATTTAAGTTGGTGTCATTGGCAATGCATTTAAATAATCCTTACTGGCCGGTCCTGCTCCACAGAACAGCCTTAACTCTCATCCTCTACACTCCCAACTAGAGAGCAAGTGACTTCAACTCTGAATGTCCTCCTTCAACAATCGGCTAGTCATAGAGCCTACGTGTGGGGTTGCTGCCAGCATGCAGCGAGATGGTGCACACCAAACATTCAGTCCACTGGCTGGCACGTTGTAAGCACATAGTAATGCAGGCTATTTTATCATGGGGGACTTTTAGCACCAAGTAACAGAAAACCCCCTTGAATTGGCAGATAATCATCATAATAAGGGTTTTTATCATTTCATATCATAGGTGTTGTATAACATCTTTGGCTTTGATTCTCTGAGACTGTGTTCCAGCTAACAACGATAATAAGGAAATGTGTCGTTTCCTATAACTGGTGTTCAGTCTCACAGCCTGGCTCTGATTCTCTGACACTCTGTTCTGCCATGTTCCATGGGTCGACTTCATCCTAAAACTGTTCCAAATGATGGCTGCAGTTCCAGGCCAAGGGATTATCAGAATACCATAATCAGTCCTCATGGGTCATTTCGGTGAAATCATTAGTGAGAAGGCAATACGCCGATGCGGTAGAGAGAAAACAATGATGATATCAGTGGTTTGAAGGCTAACCATTCCCCAAAGTAATTATGCCCCTTCAGTTCAGATCCATGGGATTTGTGTAATGACAGTCCCCACCTTCCAAAGCAGGACCACTAGACTGTGAACTTATCAAGATCTGGACCTTCTTGTCTTGCTCAATCATCGTTCTATTGTTGGTGTCTAGCACAATGCCTGGACCTGGTAGATACTCAACAAATAGTGGTTGAAAGGTTAAACTGATAAACAAATACTCTGTGGCCACGCCCATGGTGGATCGCCTTATCCTCTAGCATGAGTTTGTTTAGCTCCGAATGTCTGATCACACTAACCAGACATCCACTCTTCCCGAAAATCGGCCCAGTGGTTCTAAAAGTACAGTCCCAGGACCAGCAGGCTCAGCATCACCTGAGAACATATTAGGAATGCAAACTCTCAAGCCCTACCTTGTGCCCGCAGAATCAAAAACTCCTGGGGTGGGACCCAGTAACCTGTGTTTTAGCAACCCCTCAGGTAGTTCCAATGAAGGAGAAAATTTGAAAAACATTGCTCTAGGCAGAGCTACCACTTCACAGAGTATCAACAGGGTGTTTGGTCAAAAGCTGGCCCTGAAGATGCGTGGATAATAAAAGCTAACATTGGGCCAGGCGCGGTGGCTCACGCCTGTAATCCCAGCACTTTGGGAGGCCGAGGCGGGTGGATCACGAGGTCAAGAGATTGAGACCATCCTGGTCAACATGGTGAAACCCCGTCTCTACTAAAAATAAAAATAAAAAAAATTAGCTGGGCATGGTGGCGTGTGCCTGTAATTCCAGCTACTCGGGAGGCTGAGGCAGGAGAATTGCCTGAACCCAGGAGGCGGAGGTTGTGGTGAGCCGAGATGGAGCCATTGCACGCCAGCCTGGGTAACAAGAGCGAAACTCCGTCTCAAAAAAAAAAAAAAAGCTAACGTTGGACCTCACTAGATGCCAGGTATTGTGTGTCACTTCACTTAACCTTGACAGATGAGGAAACTAAGGCTCAAAGAGAAAAAAACCAACTTTGCCCAAGAACACAGATGGCAAAGCCAAGGTTGAAATCCAGCCTAAGTACACAAAGGCTTGCTTTCATGTCTGTGGGAGAGACAGGCCGGCAGAAGATAGTAATATCATGTAAGAGGAGCAAACGCAGGATGTTGTGGGACTCAGGAGAAGGCACTGGTACAAGACCACAGGGGGTAGAGGTCGGCCACTTTGGGGAGGTGACACTTAACTCATAAAGAATGAATAAGCATTGGACAAACGGGCTCCCAGAAGGACAGCAAGTACAAAAGCCTGGAGTTCATAGAGAGAATGGCAGGTAGTTTAGCATGGCTGAAGGGAGATTGTGGGGAGGACAGATAAGAGGATGGAAGCTGGGGACGCACCAGGGACCATCAGGGACTTGGAGTAGAGAGTCCATAGTAGGAAGTTTAAATTGTCTCTTGAGGGCGATGGGGAGCCATGGAAGATATTTGAGCTGGAGGGTGATATAGGTTTATATTTTTGCTGCAGGGAGGATCTAATACTCTAATACTCTAATACCAAAGCAATTCAACTAATATTTACTGGGTGGCCTGAGCTGTCTTTTAGATATTTATTATAGTGTGTCATCATTTTTTTTAAGCTTCTTTGAAAATTGTAAGAAAGAAAACCTCTAAATGGCTTTGATCCTTAAAAGGACACTTAAATGATTATTTCTCTCTCTCTCTCTTTTTTTTTTTTTTTTTTTGAGACATAGTCTCACTGTGTCACCTAGGCTGGAGTGCAGTGGTGTGATCTCAGCTCACAGTAATCTCCGCCTCATGGGTTCAAGCGATTCTCCTGTCTCAGCCTCCTGAGTAGCTGGGACTACAGGTGCGTGCCACCACGCCTGGCTAAATTTTTTTGTATTTTTAGTAGAGACAGGGTTTCACTGTGTTAACCAGGATGGTTTCGATCTCCTAACCTCGAGATCCACCCGCCTGGGCCTCCCAAAATGCTGGGATTACAGGTGTGATCCACCACGCCCAGCCTTAAATGGTTATTTCTAAGTGTCGTAAACATGAACTTAGAATTTGGCCTCATCTTTCACCCAGATGATTCAAGGCCGTCTTGAGCAAATTACTTTTTCTCAGAGGCTTAGTTTGTTTCTCTGTGGAATGGGAATGCTAACAGCACTTACCTCGGAAAATGGCTGAGAATAAACGAGACACGTATTTATGGCACATAGACACGGTGTCTGGCAGGTGATGAGTGCTTGGTTAGCTTACTGATGAGGATGCAGATGACCTCGGCCTGAGATAGAACAGTTGTGTTCACTTCCACGGACTCAAGGCCACCCAGCCTTTGGGACATCCTTAAATTTTGTCCCAGCTGCTCCTCATCCTCATAAGCAGTTGGCTGGCTGGCTTATCTAGAAAAAGGAAAGGAAGGAGGAGAGAGAGCAAAGAAAAATGTTCATTTTCCCTGCTGTTCATCCCATTTTAAAGTAAGGTCCACCCTTGGCTGTCCTTGGTTGTATGGCTGCATCTACTTATAACGTTGGCCAAGTCACGGTGGAAGCAGGTGCTGTGTCTGCCTTGCCCCACCGTCTTCAGCCCACCTGAGTTTACCCGCATCACTGACAGCTTCCCACCCCAGAACTCCTTGTGCTTTGCTTCTCCTCTTGGTGACTTTCCCAGTGGTTTTAGGGGCTTATTTTGCCCACCTTCAGGGAATTTTGAAAAACCTGAAACTTTATGTTGCCAAGGGCAACCCTCAATCAATGAAAGATGAGAGATGGCAGGTAAACATCTCAGCTGCCCCATCTCTCGCAGCACGAAGACATTGCTGAGGGGTTGTCTTCGTGTTCTTTCAAGGGTCCTCAGCAAGACCGAGCCACCATCACCCACAGCTATAACATACTCATGAGCACACCCCCCCACACACATTTGTGCTTCCTGCGATCACTTCCCAAATAAACAAACTACTGGCACCCAAATGCTTGTCTCAGGGTCTGTGTCTTAGGTTAAAAACATCTGGTCTTCGGGTTTTCTCGGGAACATCTACCCCATAACAAGTAGCTGAATAGAAGGACATTGATATGGGCACTAGTTTAAAGGTGTTGGAAGAGTTTCAAAGACAAGCATAGGGCAGTGAGGCTCACCCAGAGATTAGAAACAGAAGAAACAGAACTGCCACTAGAGACAGCCAGCCAAAGGGAAGAGGTGATGTCACTTGAGCCAGGGAACTGGGCAACCTGTGGGACGTAGAACCCCATGTGGATGAGGGCGAGGCTGCTTGCGGGTAGCTGGAACCAGATGGGGGCTGCCTGAAGCAGTACCTTCTTGTTGACTGGAGGGAGGAGGCAGGAAAAATAGGTGTCAGTGCCTCCCACTGGCTCAACCTAACCAGAAGCCAGTTGGTAATGGAACCTGGGAAATGCAGTTTGAAGAGAAGCTTGGAAAAAAGAGTAAACAGACAAATATCTAGAAGAGTTGGAGGTTCTACTTTTAGAGGGGAGGGAAGGGGAGGGGAGGACAGGGGAGGGGAGGACAGAGGAGGGGAGGGGAGGACAGAGGAGGGGAGAGGGAAGGGGAGGGGAAGGGGCATCCAGGGAAGGGAAGGGAAGGGGAGGGGAGGGGAGGGGAGAGAAGGGGGCATGCATAAATAGGAGAAGGTTTATGGAGGGAAAAGAAAAGAGGAAGGGAAGGGAAGAGAAGAAAAGGGAAGAGAAGGAAAAAAAGGGAAGGGAAGAAGAGAAGGGAAGGGAAGAAAAGAGAAGGGAAGAGAAGAAGGTAAGGAAAGGGAAGGGAAGAAAGGAAGTGAGGGGAAGGGAACAGAGGACAGAAGAGAAAGGAAGGGAAAGGAAGAAGAAAAGGGAACAGAAGAAAAGGGAAGGGAAGAAGAGAAGTGAAGGGAAGGGAAGAAGGGAAAGGAATGAAGAGAAGAGAAGGGAAGATAAGGGAAGGGAAGGGGCAACCTTGATTAGGCTCCCACCGCCTTCCCTGGCTCCAAGTAAATGAACATGTATGTTCTGGTCATGCTGACATCCTTGTCTCCTCCTTTATCTTCAGAATAGAGCAGTAGTTACGAACACAGGCTCTGGGTCCAAATGGCCCTGGTTGGAATCCCAGTTCTGCTACTTGCTAGCCACGCGGCTTTGAGCAATTCCTTAACTTCTTCAAGCTTCACTTTCACATCCATAAAATGGAGACACTAGCAGAATCCACCTCATTGAGTTGCTGTGGGGATCTAATAATGTATTCCATGCAAAGTCCAGAAGGAGTCTCTAATAAACGTTCATGCTTACGGAAACACACCGTTCTTTGAGTGTCAATCAACTTACTCAAGTTCCTGCTAAAACGTGTTTCTTCTCCTCTTTACCACTCACACCTCTAACTTCAATGTCTAGAATCTCTACCCCTTGTCTCTACTTCACTGTCTTTAAAAAATATGTATCTTTCTATTTTTATAGAGGTTCTGAGAACTGAGGAGAAACAGCCTTTCTCCTCCCCTCTGGGCTCACAACCCTCTCTCCACATCCCCTGCCCCCTCCCTATCTGTGCTGGCCAGTTGTTCACAAGTAGCTTAACAGTTTTGAGAATACAAAAACAGGAAATTATGCCCCAGCCCCAGCCCTAAGACTGAAAAACTCATGTGCAAATCCTTCAGTGGACAGATTTCTTCAGCTTTCAAAAACTAGGGCTTTGAAAAATCAGGTCCCATGGCCAAGATCTCTGGATTTGCTTAATCATTTCCTTTGCAAATTTATAACCTCTTTAACCATGAAGGGAGATGGTGAGAAAGGGGGAGGCGGGAGTTGAAAATGTTTTAAGTCAACCGCAAGACAGGACAGGAAATTCTGGAGGGGGGTGCATTTTTCTTTAATCCCTCAGTGGCAGAGAGGCCTAAGATAGCAGCTCTGGAAAACTGTTTATTGTCCAAGAAATTACCGTTCTGGGATATTGTTTTGCTGTTGATATTGACCCAGAGGAAAATGTGGCAGCCTTCTTCATCCAGTGGCTTCATAGAGAATAGAAGGGCAGGGAAGGCGCTAAGACAGCCTGGTCTGACCCTTGACTTGACTCATGCAACAAACATTTATAGAGCGGCTGCCCTGCCCTCCAAAGGATAGAGAGGACTGAGGCGGCCTCTCAAAGAGGTAAAATAACTTCCTCACTTGTCAAAACCATTTGAAATGTTAAGGAATCTACTGGAGGCTGTCTACTAGAAGAATCTAAAACAGGTGATCCAAAGCTGCCTTATTATTAAAATTCCTGAAAGACAAAAAGAAGTGGGGTTTTTTTTGCCCCCTTCCTTCTTACTTTCTGAGTTTTTCTTGGCTAACCAGAGTAATGTACTTTTTTAACCTTTAAGATAAGTTCCTGTATTTAGCAGTGGTTTTCATTTGAAGCCAGGGCCCAACCTACTTATGTTGACCCAGCAAATGAAATTGAATGGAATAGAACAGAATACAATAGAAATGTCATGATGCATCACAGGTAATATGAGTAACACTCAGTAGTGGAAGGTTGGCTTTGATTACTAATGTATGTGTATAGACTCAGAATGTATTTCTTATTACGATTTGTAGCGAGAAAAGTTTAAAAGCCTCTGATCTTTAATACAGTTCAGCAGCTAAAAGTGTGGGATCTAGAGTCTACTGGCATGAGTTTGAATGTCAGCCTGCCACTTACTGGCTGTGGGATGTTGGATAGGCTGATTATCCTCTCTGGACCTCACTTAGTTAAGGGAAATAAAGAGACATATAAAATGAGAGAAATGAATACATCACAATAAAGAGAGATATAAAATGAATATTGGATATCACAGTGTCTGAATTGCTGGGGTCATTTATCTTCAGAAAACTCCATCCTGCCCTCTATATCTTTTATCTGGCCCATCATTCTGCTAACTGTCTGGGGTCTACTCACCTCAAGTAAAGCTACTTCCTCTATCTTAACAAATCTCGCTTCATTCCTTCCACCTCCAGTTGCTATCTCTAACATCATCTGTGGAAAACCAAAGCCATTTAATACGTAGAATTTCTCTTGGGGAAAATGGCTGTATGGTTGCAGACCATCTTACCTACTGAGTACAAAGATAAAAGCTAGACAAAAACCCTGAAGGCATCCTAAAATAGAGATACAATGCTCCACTTCAATTGAAAGCAACAGTAAGAGTGACAGTCGACTTTTCAGCAGAACTAATGAAAGCCCAAGGACAAAATCCTAAAGGAAAAAGAAAAGAAAGAAGGAAAAGAAAACATACGCTAAGATGGAAAAGAAAAGAAAAATAAAAAAAAAAGAAGAAAGAAAAAAAATAAGGGGTTGGAAAAAAACTGCCAACCTATAATTCTACATCCAGTAAGAAATAGTTATCAAAATTGGAGGTAATTATGTTTTCAGATAAACAAAAACTAAATTGCTGTGTTACTAACAGATCCTCACTAAAGGAAATACTAAAAGATTCCTTTAAGAAGAAATAAAATGATCTCAGATGGAAGAATAAAAATGTAGGAAAGAATTAAAAACAACAGAAGGATAAATGTGTTGGTAAATCTAAAGGAATACCAACTATATTAAAAGATCATAATAATGTTTTCTGAAATTTAAAATATATGTAGAAGGCTGGGTGTGGTGGCTCACACCTGTAATCCCAGCATTTTGGGAAGCCAAAGTGGGTGGATCACTTGAGGTCAGGAGTTTGAGACCAGCCTGGCCAACATAGTGAAACCTCATCTTTACTAGAAATACAAAAATTAGCCAGGTGTAGTGGCACAGTAGTAGTCTCAGTTACTCTGGAGGCTCAGGCAGGAGAACCACTTGAACCCAGGAGGCAGAGGTTGCAGTAAGCCAAGATCACACTACTGCACTCCAGCCTTCATGACAAAGCAAGACTCCATCTCAAAAAGAAATAAAATAAAGCATATGAAGCATTAAAATACACAGTAGCAATAGCACAAAAGGTAGTCAAGAAA